TCTAAGAATTCAGCTCAACTTTGCTTTATATCTTCATTTCAATTATATCAAAATATGCTTTTCAAAGGAAAATGTATTTTAACAGAAATTATCTCTTTAAGTAGATCTAGATATGTAGTTTTGGAGGCAGGACTTCCAATTTGCATGGCCTCTTTCCTTCCACCTTCTCTATAAGAAGAATAAGTGTTGTACCTTATGATTCTTAATGAATGTATATTTTCTTTTTATGTACACTGAGAGCATATGCACTAAGACAAATTCCTTATGTGTCTAATCACACTTAGCCAATAAAAAAATCATTCATTCATTCATTCATTCATTTGATGTGCAGTTAAAAACATAGCTGTCCTCTCTTCCTGCCCTCTCACCTTCTCAAATTAATCTAATGCTAAGCAGGGGTGGGATTCAATTTTTTTAACAACCGGTTCTGTGGGTGTGGCTTAGTTGGTGGTAATGTGATTGGCTGGGCGTGGCCAACTCAACATCACTCACGTCGAGGCATGCATCTCCTCGTCTGGCTTCTCATGACTGTGGGGATGCTGCAATAGTCATAAGTGTGAAAAATGGTCATAAGTCACTTTTTTCAGTGCCATTGTAACTTTGAATGGTCATTCCACACAAGCAAAGTACCAGCAAAGGAGGGGGGAAAAACTCCAGAGAAGTTCCTGAGACAGGAAGTCTAGTCCTGCCAAGAACGTAATAAGGGTTAATGGAGAGGCAGTTTCTGTAAGCAACACCAGAATGTTTCCTTCTTGCCTTCCTTACAGGATTAGGCCAGTAATTTCCTCTAACAACTGGTTTTCTGAACTGCTTAGAATGTTAACAACCGGTTCTAGTGAATAGGTGCGAATTGGTAGAATCCCACCCTTGATACTAAGCCTGAATCCTACTGGTAGTAAAGATATAAATCTGTCTGCACATTTGTACAATAAACTGTTTTCTTCTCAATACAGAGTATTGCTGTGGCTGATTAAAGATCAAAGTGTACCCTATGTCTTTTCTTTCCATTCCATTCAGCAAAAAGAAGGACCAGGGGTGATACGATAGCAGTGTTCTAGTATTTGAAGGGCTGCCAGAAAGATGAAGGGGAAAACCATTTACCAAAGCACCAGAAAGCAAAGCAAGAATCAATGGATGGAAACCGTGGTACGATTAAAAAAAATTACTACCAGTTCTGTTGGCATGGCTTGGTGGGCGTGGCAGGGGAAGGATACTGTAAAATCTCCATTCCCTCCCCACTCCTGAGGGAAGGTTACTGCAAAATCCCATTCCCTCCTCCCCTCACTAACCTGCTTTCCAGCTCCGTTCTCCTGTGCAGGGCAACCAAAGAAGACCCAGCTGATCAGTTGGGACTCGGGAGGCAGAGAATAGATGGGGACAAGGCCAATCAGAGGTGGTATTTGCCAGTTCTCTGAAATATCAAAATTTCCACTACTGGTTCTCCAGAACTGGTCAGAACCTGCTGAATACCACCTCTGGATGGAAACCAATCAAGGAGAAATAGCAACCTAGAGCTAAGGAGAAAATTTCTAACAGTGAGAACTATCAACCAGAAGAATGATTTGCCTTTGGAAGTTGTGGGTGTCCCATCACTGGAGTTTTCAAGAAGGGACTGATGGCCACTGGTCCAGGGATGGCCTGCTGGGGGCTCGCAGGGGCTCAGGGGAACCCCTAGCTAAGACTCTGCAGAGCTTGGAGAGCCCCCAGTAATCTCAAAATACAAGCAGCCTAGAATTATAAATGGACACCTTTTCAGCTTTTGTCCTTTCTGGGCGTTCAGCCAACAGCATTTCACAACTCGTAAAAGTGTCAAGCTACACAAAATGCTTCTCGAGGGCTAATTCCCACATAATAAGAATCATATAACTCACCAGAAACACTAAGACTCCAAGATCCCTCTCCAAGTCACTGTTATTAAGCCTGGTTTCACCCAGTCTTTTATTTAAGTATTAAATGCACGAAATAATAAATAACTTTTTGGTGTATTATATTTTTTTAGGTAATTAGGGAAAAGAAGCAACATCAAGTTGGCCACACCCACCCAGTCACATGACCATCTAGCCATGCCCACCGAGTCACATGACCACCCAGCCATGCCCACCCAGCCAATCATTAGGTCAGAGATCCCCTTGCTAAAGAATTTGAAGCCCCCCTGCACTGGTCTGAAATGATATAGACGCTCATGCATGAGACACCCACAAGGTGGGTGAAGGCAAGGCATTTTTCTGGTTGATAGCTGATAGTTGCCATTGAAATTTTCTCCTTAGCTCTAGGTTGCTGTTTCTCCTTGATTGGTTTCCATCCAGAGTTGGTATTCAGCAGGTTCTGACCAGTTCTGGAGAACCGGTAGCGGAAATTTTGAGTAGTTTGGAGAACCAGCAAATACCACCTCTTACTGGCCCTGCCCACATCTATTCTCTGCCTCCCGAGTCCAAGCTGATTGGCTGGGTCTTCTTTTGTTGCCCTGCACAGGAGAAAAGAGCTGGAAAGCAGTTTAGTGGGGTGGGGAGGGAATGTGGATTTTGCAGTTTCCTTCCCCTGCCACACCTACCAAACAAAACCTACATAACCGGTAGTAAAAAAAATTGAATCACACCACTGGTTTAATTAATGAACATGTTTAGACAATGTTCACGTATTCTAAACCCTTATAAATAGATTCATTTTTTAATTCTGGCAGGTTCAGTTTTGTAGTTTCCCAATCCCCACCCCCAATGGAATAAAGACCAATGATTTTGAAATTTACATGTGGATAAACAAAGATGGAGATTGTGTTATGCATTGTAATATCAAGGGGAAAACCCTTGATATTACAAGGTTCAAAAGTCACCTAGTTCCTCTCTATTATACAATGATTATAAAAATTTACTTTCCTTTCAAGAGTTGAACAAACATTTTATCCTGGGAGTCATGATTTGAAGATTATTTGAATGTGTTTGTGTACTTTTTTCTTACCATTTAGAAAAATGATTTAAATTTTTGTCATCTAATGGTATATTCTCTTTTTTATGACCCTGTACTCCCTTAATTCAGGGTAGAATGACTTAATTCAATGGTACATGACAAACTACTCCTAAAATTGTAATCATATTGTATCACTGGACACCGGCATAACTGGATAGAAACATTCCTGTCAAACAGACAACAAATGGTCAAAATTGGGAGCATCCTATCAAATTCTGTACCTGTCAATAGTGGTGTTTACTACCAAGGCAGTGTTCTAGGATCTTCATACTCTACATAAATGACCTTTGTGATCATATTAAGAGCAACTGTGTTCTCTTTGCTGATGATGTAAAGCTATTGAACACCAGTGACAATACTGCTACCCTTCAAAAAGACTTCGATTATGTATCAGAATGGCAACTTCAAATCTCAACAAATAAATGCTCTGTCTTACATATTGGCAAAAAAAATCAGGCAATAAAATACAAGCTGAATAGTCAAGACCTTGTTGATGATCCAAACTCTGTCAAGGACCTGGGAGTACTCATCTCTAATGATCTAAGTGCTAGAGCCCACTGTTACTATATAACCAAAAAGGCATTAAGAATTGTTAACCTAATCCTGCATAGCTTTTTCTCTGGTAATATCACACTACTAACTAGAGCATACAAAACATTTGCTAGACCAATACTTGAATACAGCTCATCAATCCAAAACCCACATTATGTATCTGATATTAATACGGTTGAGAAAGTCCAGAAATATTTCACAAGAAGAGTTCTCCACTCTTCTACTTGTTGTAGAATACCTTATGCCACCAGATTTGAAATTCTAGACCTAGACAACCTAGAACTACGCCACTAAGGTCTGATCTAAGTATAGTATATAAAATTATATATTGCAATGTCCTACTTGTCAATGAATACTTCAGCTTCAACCATAACAATACAAGAGCATACAATAAATACAAACTCAAGGTAAACTGCACCAAACTTGATTGCAGGAAATACGACTTCAGCAATAGAGTGGTCAGTGTCTGGAATATGCTACCTGACTTTGTGGTTTCTTCCCCAAATCCCAGAAACTTTAACCTTAGACTGTCTACTATTGACCTTTCCCCTTTCCTAAGAGGTCTGTAGGGGGTGTGCATAAGCACACCAATGTGCCTACTATCCCTGTCCTATTGTTTCTTTTTATTTTTCTTATATGTATCCATTTCATGTATTCATAGCTATGTTTATATTTATACCTGTTATAATTGCTTGACAAAATAAAATAAATAAATAAATAATCAGGATGACTGTACAGAATTGGGCATTTACTGGGCAGATGCCCTTCCTGACACCTACACAGAGTTCACAGCAGATATTTTTTCTTTGCATCTAATTTTATACTATGACATGAATATATATTAAGACAAATTTTGATCCATACAAGAGAAATGCATTCTTTAGTGGCATCTCTCTCTCTCTTTCTCACCTTCCATGTGTGTTATTTGTGTATGTGTGTAAAATCACAGTTCAAGAACTGATTTCAAACAGAAAGCAAGCAAAACCCTCTGTATGTAAAATATTCTCTTTTTATCTTTCAGATTAAGCATCACAGGAATTGATCATGCTGGGAAGGAAATAAATGAAATGATTCATGTCCATGTATATAAATTATTTTATTCCTTAATTGTTCCATTAACTGATACCACTTCCCCTGAAAGGCGCTTTGGGAAACATGCAGGGATGATCAAGACTCAAAAAAAGTGTCAACATAATTGAGTATTTTATTATTTTAATTATTAGGGAACTTTCCCAAAGAATCTGAGGTGTAAATAACCGTCAGCACAGAACATAAAATTGCCTTTCCAGAGTTTCCTGTTAAAATTTTGCATGCAAACACAAGACCAGAAATGCTTAATACCAGGTATTATGAGTTATATTGAGCATGTTCTGTACGAATCATGATCTAAAAGAATGTCTCTTCAAAACTAAGGTCCTGATGTTCTGTTCTTCTGTAAGTCCAATTCATGCAAACCTCTCACCTTTTGGACTCAAGGTACTTCCCTACAATTCATACTTGCAGATGTAGGCATTCAGTGTGTAACATGCAGTGTTATTCCATTTAGTGAAATCTACGAGGAATAAAAACAAGTAGAGATTAAAAATGGGATATGTTTAGCCAGCCAGCCTTTGGAACTCAATGAAGCATGGTATGATTAACCCAAAATGGACAGGTGCTCCCTCAAAAGCAAAAAGGAACTCTACCCCATAGTTTATAATCTTTTGTAAACTAGAGTTGGATGAAACCTTGCAGATTATCTAGCCCAGTGGTGTCAAACTCGATTTCATTGAGGGCTGCATCAGAGTTGTGTTTGACCTTGTGGGGGAACTGTGGATGTAGGCAGGGTGGGTGTGGCCAGCTCAATGTCACTCATGTCGGGGGTGCCTATGGTGATCCAAGTGCTTTGCCAGCAAAAATGGAACACAGAAGAGCCATGCACAGCCCTCCCAAGCTTAATTTTGGCTAGCATGGGGTTGCACGAGGCCAACACAGCCGAAAACGGAGCTTGGGAGGGTCGCATACAGCCCTTCCAAACGTTTTGCTGGCATAGGCACTGTGGGCTGGTCCTTTGCTGTTTCCAGGTGGCCCCACAGGCCAGATCTAAGCAATCTGAAGGCTGGATCTGGGCCCTGGGCCTTGAGTTTGACACCCCTGATCTAGTCTAATTACCTAGTCCAAGCACAAGACCCTATACCATTCTGGACAGATGGCTGTCCAAACTGTTCTTAAGAAACTCCAATATTATTGCACTTACAACTTCTGAAAGCATGCCATTCCACTGATTAATTTGTCCTCACTGCAGGAAATGTCTCCTTAGTTCTAGGTTAGATCTTTCTTTTTCATCCATTACACCTTGTCTTGCCCTCTGGTGCTTTAGAAAATAGGTTGTCTCCCTCTTCTTTTATTTTTATTTTTTTATTATATTTTTTTGGTTTGTAAACAAGGCCACTGTGGTCTGTTCAACAAACGACATTAAAACAAATTTGACTAACAGTCTCCAGATCAGGCTGATTGTTGGGAACTGAGATTTAGACTTGTTTCTCTATGATTTGCTCTGAAGATCTTCCTTCTATGACTGTGTACATATATTCCCAGAACAGGTGCTACTTCATTCACCACTCTGTAAGTGATTCAAAGAAGGGCAAAGAATGTTACTGAACATGAGAGTGTGGCATGCTTGCAATAGGTTGGAAATTTTCACCTTTACGATTTCTGATGGGTGCTTCTTCATATTGATGATAGGACTCTTTTGAAACATTGGCTCCATGTACAGGACGGACCAACTCAACACAATATTCCTTTGTTCTCAAGTTGGGTTTTCCCAGCATCCATGCCTTATAGTTGTAGGTGGATTCATCAGACCATCTCCATTTTCCATTCTGCATGGTGAAAAGAGGGGGGAAATGCAACAGGTTCAAATCTGAATAAAGCTTTGATTCCAGATTGATCTCCATGGGCTTTGAAATAAAAGTTGGAAAAACCAAGAAAAGTATGGGAGAGAGGGGAAGAAATAGGGAGATCTCAAAGGTGCTTTTTCCAAAGGCAACTGGTCTTTCTTTTTCTTTTTTCCCTTGAAGACATTTCCTTTTTCATCCAAGAAGCTTCTTCAATTCTGTCAGAACCAGTGGTGGGCTCCTGCCAGTTCAGACCGATTGTAGCAAACTGGTAGTTCCAGTGATCAGCTGGCCCCATCCACCCCCATCCTATCCTGTCCTATATTTCCAAGTTTTTCAGCTCAGCTGATTCGCGTGTCACAGTGAATTGCTGTACCTCAGCTGTTTTACTCACCAACAGTGCTCTAGAACAGCAGTCACCAACCAGTGGGCTGCAGCCAACTGGTGGTCCGCAAGAAAATTTTGGTGGTCCACAGAGAAAGGACACCCCAAAGCAACCCCACAAAGCAATTAATCCAGGCTGCGGGGGGGACACAAGGCTATGCCTCCCACATAGCCTGGGAACACAAGGCTTGCATCATTTGCATTAGGAACAATATGAAGTACTGAGGGGAGGGGGGAAAGGGGGGGGGGGGGAACTTGCCCGGCCACCAGGTTGCTTCTTTCCGCTTCTTTGGTCTTCTGCTTTTGGCTGCACACAAGGAAAGCAGCAAAAGTCTTTCTTTCTGTCCCCCAAACTCTGGTAGAAATGAATCTTTGGGACCCTGCAAGGCATCCTGCTCCAAGAGGCTGCAAAGACTCATTTCTGGTGGAGTTTGGGGAAGAGAAAGAAAGACTTCTGCTGCTTTCCTTGCATGCAACCTGACAACGGAACTTAAAGCAGGCTAGGAATGGGGCTGCCTTGGAGGGTGTGTGTGTGTGTGTGTGTGTGTGTGTGAGAGAGAGAGAGAGAGAGAGAGAGAGAAAGAGAGAGAGAGAGAGAGAGATCCATTGTTGCTGGGGAATTAAATTCACAGAAAGGGGGGAATTTGCATGCCTTGACTGCTACAGAATGACCTATATCAGGTAAATGTTAGATAGTACTGTGCATTCAAATGTTTGTCCTGTAGTGACTGGAATGAAAATGGAGTGGAAATGAGTATTTCATGCTTGCTGACAAACTTTCATAAGTGTGAAAATATAGGGGGAAAAAATACTAGTTACACATTACTCTTAACAAAGACAAAACACCAGGGCTTTGGACTTTGGATCCCCCCAAACCCAAAGGATGAGAGAAGCCCTTCCTTTCCCTTCACTCTGCCCCACAATTCCCATTTATTTTTATGTTTAATATAAAAATAAATTTTTATATTAAATATATTATCTTTTTTTAAAAATTCATATTAGTGGGCCTCAGGAATTAAAAGTATAAGTTTGGTGGTCCCTGAGGTCCAAAAGGTTGGTGACCCCTGCTCTAGAAGGTAAGTTTTAGAATATAAAATTGGTGGTTTTCAGATGCTGCGTACACACTCACAGAACATATTGTTAAACCGGTTGCAGCCTCCGCTTGTCAGAACTGAAGAAGCTTCTTTGATGAGAAGCAAAATATATTCAAGGAAAAACAAAGAAAGTCCACTTGCCTTTTGAAAAAAAGTACCTTTGGGGCAACCATGATCTGGATGACTAAGAATCTTCATAGGCAAATAGGGAGATTCCTATGACTGGGGTGGGGGGGTGGAGAGAAGGCCAAAGGACAGAACAGTAAAAAAAAAATAAGAACCTAGAAAAGCCAATTTTTATTATTTGAATTCCAGACTGCTTGGCAAATAATGCCTAATCTCTGGCATTACAACAAGGATCAAGGGGAGAAAAAAAATGGATAGCCATCTCCAAGGCCTTACATTGTGTTACCATTGACTAGCTCAGTTTTTTTTATTTGTACCTGCCTTACATATCCAACACAATTTCCTCTTATTTTCTCCACAACAACCTTCTAAGGTGGGTTGAGCTGAGAAATTGTCCCAAGTTACCAACAAGTTACAAGTTACCAAGTTACCAGCTTTCGTGGCTAAGGCAGGACTTGAATGCATGGCCTTCTGCTTGCCAGCCTGCTGCTTTAACCACTAGACCAAACTGTTTCTTCAGTTGATAAAATGTCAAAGTTTCAAGTATAGCTTTTGGGGATACAAGATTCCTTATATCTTCTGAGCAGCCTTGGGCAGAAGCATCACAACTGTCCAATTTAAACTCCTTGTATAATCCTTCCTGAGGTAGAGATTACTACTGGCAACTAGAGGACACCAGAAAAGGGAGGTTTGACTTGGCTATCAAAATGAACCAAGGGAGGGGAGAACTCGGAAACATTTCTGGAAAGTAAATATCTTCTCTGAAGGATGAGTTTTGTTCCCACGTTTTAAAGTTTGATCAATTATATGTCTCGCAGAGTTCTACCTGGAAGCACAGATGGCCTAGGATACCACAAAAATATTCATGGATGATTGGAAGATTATGTGATCCATATGGTTTGGAATCTGGATATTGCAGTCTCAACACATCCCTACTGCTTGTTGAAAATTACTGGAGGTTTTTCTTATCTCTTGTAGGAAAATAACCCTGATATACAAATTGTGTGAAGCCCTTTCACCAGGAAAATAATTACCCAGTGATGCTAATGTTACATGGATGAGAAGGTGGATCAAAGCTAATGTCTCGAGGAAGAAAGAGAGTAGGTAATAGGAGGAGGGGAAAGAAGATATTTGAAAAACAATATTTTGATACAGTTTACGCTTTGAAGTGAAAAAGCAAATTGGAAGTAATGCTAAGCCAACAGTGTGTGACAGCAGCCAAAAAAGCCAATGCATTCCTAGGCTGCATCAGTAGAGGGATAAAATCAAGATCATGTGAAGTTTTAGTGGCACTTTACAAAGCCTTAGTAAGACCACACTTGGAATACTGCATCCTGTTCTGGTCACCATGATATACAAAAGATATTGAGACTCTGGAAAGAGCACAGAGAAGAGCAACAAGAATAATTAGGAAGCTGTAGGATAAAACATGAAAAATCATTACAGGAATTTGGTATGTCTAGTCTAATGAAAAGACTAGGATAGACATGATAACAGTGGTCCAATATTTGACGCAATCCTAAAAAGAAGCGCAGGGGTGTCAAACTATTTTCCAAAGCACCAAAAGGCAAGATAAGAAACAATGGGTGGAAACTAATCAAGGAGAGAAGCAACCTGGAATTAAGGAGAAATTTCCTAATGGTGAGAGCAATCCACCAATGGAACAACTTGTCTTCAGAACTTATGGGTGGTTCACTGGAGGCTTTCAAAAAGAGACTGGATAATAATTTATCAAACATAAGAATCATGAGCCAAAACTGGCCCATAATGTGGTCAGATCTGGTCCACAGAGCCATTCTGGAAAATGTAAGGGGCTGGCCTACATCACTTCATCACAGTCTACCCAATGCAAAGAGGAAACATTGGGGCAGCATGGCTTCGATCTGCTCTATCCAGTGCAAAGAGGAAATATCGGGCCAGTGTGGTTTTGGCCCAGTCTATCCAGAGCAAAGAGGAAACATCAGGCCAGCATGGCTTCAATCTGCTTTATCCAGTGCAAAGAGGAAATACCGGGCCAGTGTGGCTTTGGTCCAGCCTAGCCAGTGGAAAGAGGAAACATCAGGCCAGTGTGGCTTTGGCCCAGTCTAGCCAGTGCAAAGAGGAAACATGCCAGCAGTTGGGAGACGTCAAGCTTGTCATGCCCACCCAGTTGGTCACACCCATCCAGCTGGCCATGCCCGCCTGGCCCCCTGAGGTCAGCCACAACCCTGATGTGGCCCTCAAAGAAATTGAGTTTGACACCCCTGTTATAGGATCTCCTGCTCAAGCAGGGGGTTGGACTAAAAGACCTCCAAGGTCCCTTCCAACTCTATTATTCTATGTTCTATGTCTTCAAAGGACAGGGAATGCTTATGTAAAGAACATGAAGAATACATAGACACAGACCTGAACACAAAGAAAAACACTGATGAGAAGAATGAAGAGGTTTGCCAGCAGTATAACTATCAAAACAAGCGAAGGGCGACTCAGCTGCAGGAAATGAAGAGTGGTCCCAAATCTTATGTGTCTTCCATCAATGTCTTGGAGAGAAAAGTAGCCCAAGTAGCCAAACAGCAGGATGCCAGTACAGAGGCCAGCAAGCAGCTTCAAGGCTGTGCTGAGAAGAAGATGAAGGAAGTTAGCCTGTAAGTGGAAGATGAAAGTTGTAATGATAACAACATGGCTTCCATGGAACTTCCAAGATGATATAGTTTGGAGTTGGGAAAGGATCAGGAAAAAGTCTAGTTCAGCTGTCCTTTCTGAATGCCAAGAGGGTCATAAAACACATTTTCTCAAAAAGTTGATCCACAGATAAATCAGGGCAGGGGTGGGATCTGACAGGTTTAACTACCGGTTCAGTGATTTACAATGTGCTTCCCTGCACTCTGTGTGCACGTGTAAATTGTCATCAGCTTGCTGCCTGGACAGCTGAGCAGCACTGCATGCAGGGAAGCAGCCTTTGAAACAGCACTTTTTTCCTGCTTTTTCAACTGCAGCTGTGCCTCGCACGGCAGTTGAGGTTGAAAAAGCAGGAAATAAAGGTCAGGTAAGAGCCCGGGCAGAGTGCATAGAACCGATTCTATGTCTGTTGCTCTTCAGAGCTACCAGTTCTACAGAGCCGGACAGAACTGGTAAAATCCCACCCCTGAATCAGGGTGAAGAAAACAATCATCGATGATGGACTCCCTGTGCATTATTCATTCTTCTGAGCTTTATACCCAATTAATTGATCTCCATGTCATCTGTAGTTCATATCCTATCCTCCACAGCCACAATGCCCAATATAAGATGGTAGTAGAAATGTATTCACTTTGCATCCATTTAAATGTTAATATCTTCATCTAAAAAAAAATTCAGTGACGGTCACAACATTCCTTATTATGGTCAAAGAACAGCATAAAT